CGGCACCACATCAGAGCACCACGAGTGCTCATACAGCCGTGCCAGGGGGCCGGCAATGACCTCAGCCAATTCCCTCAGCACTTGGGGGTGGAGATCATCCGGACCGGCTGACTTGAATACATCCAGTCCCTCCAGAAGCTCCCTAACTCATTCCTCGCTAACCCTTGGCCCAGGTGTGCCACCCCCGGGGCCCGAGGGGGGCCCAGCAGGGAGGTGGCTGTTCTGGTCCCTACTTAGAAAGACGGAGGCAAAGAAATCATTAAACATGTTAGCTTTGTAGTCTGGTGTGACGACCAAATTTCCCAATGCGTCCTGCAAGGGCCCCACATTACCCGGGACCTTCTTTTTACCCCCTATGTATTTAAAAAAGGACTTCTTGTTGTCCTTAATCTGGGAAGCTAGTCCCAGTTCCATCTCTGCCTTGGCCTTCCTGACTGCCCCTCTACATCTCCGAGCAACTGCAGTATAGCCATCCCTGGTGATGACCCCTTCTTTCCATTGCCTCCTTTTTAGCAAGCAGACATTCCCAGATGCTTTTGGTGAGCCATGGAGGCTTGTGTGCCTCCATGGCTCACCAAACTATATTTTCCAGTTGGTCTAATAAAAGGTATTACTTCTGAACCAAGAGTTTTAGAGTTTTGTATTCCTCTTGTCTTGTACCAACACGGGTATAAATCAGATCCCTGAACCATATGCTATATACAGCGTTTTCCTTACTAGATAGCAGGTACCTTACAATGGAGAAAAGTCTTATCAACTCTTTCTACAAATGGGGAAACTTGCTGAAGATCAGCCAGCAGCAAAGCTCAGATGGGAATTCATGGCCCACTGCCTCCAGTGCAGTGCTCAAGGCACAAAGCCTCATTCAAGGAAGGCAAAAAAACCCTATACCACTGCAAGGCACTATTGTGTCACTAAGTGTCCACCATACAGGCTGTAACTATTACAATAAAATCATCATATCCCTGTTGAAATTGCCATGGCAATGCAACTAGTGTATGCAGAGCTGGCATCTAGACAGACCCGGTAGATGACACGTGGGGAGCTCTTCAGCAACAAATGGGATCTGAATGTGGCCCCCAAATATGAAAATAGCTGGCCCCGCTCAACTTGCAGGTATTCGAAAAACAGCAGTAAGAAGCCAGCGGTAAGGTGTGGAGGCGCAGTCCTACTGGCCACCTCGATACCTCTGACACCACTCCACAGCTTGGATAATTTGACCCACGGGACCTCAACAGCGTACACAGAGCTGTCTCCAGCGGAGGCAAGCATGATCATACAACAAAAACAGGCAACTCCAGGATTTCCAGTTCAGCAGTGAAATGAGAAGGAGGGCAACCCAGGTGCCATGACTGCTATTTAGACTGTTACTTCCCAGTCAATTACTGCCATGCGTCGTCTGCTCATTTTTGTCTGGGAAGGCTGCAGAACGGTGTTTATGGTGAGAATGACTAATTTCATACACAGTTTAACTACGGTGGCTCAATCAAACCATTCGCTCCTATGAAATTTGATGGTGGGAAATGATTACCATATAAAAAAGGTTTCGCTGTTTGATTGAATGATTCCTACAGCATGCCTATAGCATCATTTCATGCCTGTGAGTGTTAATTCCACTGCAGTCGCATGTAATTGGGTGCCAAGCAAAGTGAAAGGCTTGTGGTACCTTCCCCCTCCCATCTTCCCATAGATTTGGCTTGGGCAGTGATTGAATCTCACTAGAGTGTGAATGCTCAGCTGACAAGTTTAACTTTCTGCTCTGAAAATTCATGTAATAGGAAATAATAAATTACATTTCTCATTCACTCCTAGAAGTAACAAAAGTAACAAGGAGTTCTTTTAAGATTGGGCTTTTCTTTCTTTCTTTCTTTGTAAGTGTTTCCAGATAAACCCAGTGAATCCAATAATATTTATGAGCAGAATGAAGTGTCGCTTTCTTTTCTTTCTTTTTTTCCCCTTTTCTCTTATTCTGCTGCTTCCATGCTTGAGCACAGTTTTGGCTCTGACAATATCTTACACACTGAGTTGAGCATTTGAGTTAATAATAAAAATAATAATAATACTTAGCACTTATCTAGCACCTTACATCTCCAAAGTGCCCTGCAAGCCTGAACAAATTAACTGAGTTACAATGAAGCCACCTCTTATTAAAAGGAGTGGAGGAAAGACAGTGTTTATCCAAGCTCCCTTTTCTACTGTACTTTCTTATTTCAACCCTTCAAAATCTAAAAGGTCAGGCTTGCACAGATTTCCAGCCAAACAGTGTATTAAATAACACTGAATAATGAAACTAGAATACTAAATAATAGGAAAGTCTTCTTCAGCAAGTCTCCAAAACACTGCAGCTTGCCACAGAATTTATTCAAACCGCATCAAGGGCTATTACGTTATTTATTAGTGGTATTCGGCCAGCAATGGGCTAAGCAGCTTGATACACTGAAATCAAGAAAGAAATGCAGCAAGAACGCTTGGTTAAACTAGACGGTGAGATGGAGAGGTAGAGAATAAAGGATGTGGATACAATTCCCAGCTTTGCCACAGCCTTCCTACGTGACCATGGGCAAGTCACTGGATCTCAACTCCCTGCATGTACAGCAAGGGCTATACTTCTCCCAACTTCCGTCTGTCACATCTAGTTATAGTGTAAGCTCTTTGGAGTTTATGATGCCTTATAATGTGTACGCGGCATGCTTTTCTGTGTCCTCAAGGAACTCTCAAAATACTGCTACTGCTAGTCAGAAGTATTAGGGTGTAGAACAGTCTCCCAGGGGCAGGGGTGGAAGCCCATGCCTTTCAGTCACTTGAAGGTGCACTGGGCCAAAAAACATTTTAAAGATTACAGCTGTAGAGGTCAAGTGTGTTTTGCTTCATCTGTGCCCCCCGAGGAGGCTGGGCAGCTCTCAGCCCCGCAGAACCTCAGCAACTCACAACCAGCAATGTGTTCTAGTCTCATAATAGCCTGTGAAGGGGGTAAGTATTAGCCCTCTTTTACAGAAGGGGTACTAAAGCACCAAATAGATTAAGCAATACGCCCAAGATTACAGGCCACGTCGACACAAGCGGCAGACTGCACAGTTGTTACTGCACAGTCATTTAGCACTTGCATAACCAAGTGTCTACACAAGACACTTAACTTTGCATTAGCATAGTTTACTGAGAAACAAGCATATGCTTCACAATTGCAATCACGGTGCAGGGGCTGGGAGCTCCCTGAATGGGGGCAGTTCTCCGCCCAGCCCGGGGCTCCCTGGGACCTGGCTGCACAGGGAAGCACAATGCACCCTAGAGGTGGCTGAGGACTATCCTGTTTCAGGAAGTCCACTGCCAGCTCTGGATTGCACATGCGAGCTTCCCCATGCAGCCCAGGGCTGGCTGGGAACTGTCCTATGCCCCAACCCAGTGATCAAGGCACGGGGTTTGGAAAGAGCTGCAGGGGTGGGGTAGGTCCCAGCCCCCTGCTCCGATCTGCTGGTGGGCACCTAGCAGTGAGCTAGCTGTTAGGTGCCCCACCAGCAGACTGGGGCAGGGGGCTTTGACCTACCCCTCCCCTGCAGCTCTTTCCAAGCCTCGTGCCCCTAATTGAGGAGGCAGGGCCAGGAGCAACCTTGCCGCCAGGGCAGGGGGACATTATCCCTGTTCCAGCAGCAGGCAACCCCCACCCCCCTGAGCAGATAGCTGTCCCCTGATCCGGTGCCCCCTGCCAGCCCCTGGGCTAGCACTCAGGGCAGCGGTGGGCAAAATGCAGCTTGTGGGCCGGATGTGGCCCGGCAGGCCATCCTGTCTGGCCTGCGGGGCCCCTAAAAAATTTA